TAAACACTGCGCCTTAATTGAAATCAAATGTATATTTTAGAAAACCTTGCCAGCATCCTAGACTCCTCTCTTTTTGGATTTTGTTGACATTAGTGATGGTATAGAAATCTGATCAGGAAAGGTTTGCTGTTATTACGGCTTTGAATATGAACTGGGCTTCTTAGTACTTTAAGTAGCTGATTAGGGGAGGGAGTAATATTCGACTTGATTATTGGTTACACATATGGAATAAATCCTATTTTAATGGTGTCTAATGAGCCTTTCATTTTCAAAACCTTACACAAAAGCCTCTAATAGAAAGGGAAAGTAATATTTCAAAGGTCATCTTAATACCACTTAATGTCAACAATCTGTAATCAAGCCAATATATATGGATGGTGATTACAGTCCAGTTGTGATCCTTTAAATATGAAATAATCTCCTAAATTAGCAAAGTGGCGTAAGCTCAGGTTCTCTGGGTTTGAGGCAATTTATACTTTTTAATTAAAGTTTGTTACTTGAAAACGGCCTCAGAGTTAGAGATTTTTCTCAGAGTGAGGCTTCGCGCAATGCAGTATTTCCAAAACCCACGAGATTTAAAGATCTGTCACTGCCAGTTTCTTGCATTGTTCTTCCACGCTCTGTAAAGTCACCGAAATGTGCAAATGGGAAACGATGCTTTCTCTCAACGGGGGGATAATGCAAGGGCTGCTAGAAACCAGAAAGTTGCGCTGGTCAGGAGGCTACTGAGGGAACCCGTAGGCAATAACCTCTTTCAGAACCAGGTATCTGCCTGGCAGCAGATTCAAGAGTCAGGAATTTTAAAGAATCTCTAGTACGAGACCGGCATTCTGAAATTTTGCGCCATTTGCCGGGTGACTAGAGAGAACCGGCCTTCCCTCCACAACAGAGATGTTTCCAGGCCAGGGCCATTGCTGGTTCGCAGAGCTCTCGGCCCCAGTGAGAAGTGGGTGAATCCTGCAAGACGGTTGACTTCTGTCAGGAGATTTGAAGCAAATCGACAGTGGTTAAGATGTGAATGGCATTCATGGGTAGGATAGAACGTCAGAATCTCCTGGAGGGCTTATCGACACTCAGGTGGCTGCCCCCCACCCAGCCGGGGGTTCTATTCTGTATGTCTGGGTGGGGCTGGGAATTCCGGGATTTCTGGCAGACTCTCAAGGCCTTGGGATGCTGCTGGCTCCTGCAGCGCCTCTCTGAGAATCCCTGCTCAAGGTTCATCAGTATGTAAGTGGCTGCTTCCTTCTTCCCAGGAGTGAAGTTTGAGTTTCATTCATATTCCTCCTCCCAGTGCCTAACACATAGTACCCTGCTCAGAGGGCTTGCCCAGTGTTCGCTGGGGGCAAAGAAGGAAGGTTATTTACCTGTCATTAACTAGCATATATCAGACCCCTGCCCCACCCCCACTCCCTCCCTCCCACATTACCATCCTGTATTTGTCTTTCTTTTGCTTCCTGTGTTTCCTCCTTCTGCTAACCCCCTTGGATTCTCAGAGTTTGTTTTTCTCTTTTTCCATGCTGCCTTGAACCACAGGGAACCTCGGGCTTGGTGGTCTGGTTCTACCAGCCCTCCAGCCAGTCTGGAAAGGAGAGGACCTGAGAGTAGTCTGTTGGTCAAGTCTAGTGTAAGGCTTGCTTGGTGACAGTGACCCAAGCATGCAGGTGACACTTTGGACCTTAGGTCTCAGGATGGACGTTGTACTTTAGGAAACCTGATAGGAAAGCACTTGGCTACCCAAGGAAACAGTCTTTTTGTGGTCCTTGCTTTCCTAGGTGTAGATGTTCATTCACAATGTGAAACTCATTAAAGATTTAGAAAACATGAAAAAAAACCAAAAAGGAATAACAACATAATAATAAGGAAAAAGGCATCCATTTGCCCAGACACCCAAAGCATCCAGTTTTGGAGTATTCCGTAACAGTCTTTTATAGTTGTATCTAAATGTTAGTTTATTTTTAATGCATTTGCATTTAACTGAATTTATAAATCTAGGGGTAAAATTGCCCTGAGGGAAAGGAAATTCTTGTGTTGAATTACAGGGTTATTCCCATAATGAGTGATAATCATTCATTACAAAATGGTTTGCTTTCAAGTCTCATCCAGACACCATTAGACAAACGAACAGCACCTCCTTCCTCTTCTGGAGAATTATTGGTGTGGCAGGTTCAATCAGGTGTTCAATCATCAGGCCAACCGGCCGTGATGTGTTGGGTGCTAGGCCCCCCAAGGAGGCACTTGTCGATCTCTCGGAGCCTGACTCTACTGGTTTGGGGTTCATGGTTTCGGGTGAACTTTTTCAGCAGGAACGGGTGGGTGGTGTATATTATGAGCCCCTGAGTCCAAGAAGTTGCCCTTCTCTTGCCTTTCTTCATACAAGTCAGTAGGGTCAAACCCCTTCACTGTTAATCTTTTCCCCTAAAAATACTCTAATGCTAGTGCAGGTACCACAGACACTGTTACCTTCCAGCCTTTCTTGCTGCCAAGGAGACATCTGAGACCAGCTGGATTTTCAGGGTTTTGTAGATAATCTTGTGGTTGTCATTTGCGGTCTAGGCGCTCATAGTTTCTTCCGTCTTTGCTCTTTAAACATGGTCAGGATGTTCTGAGATGCAGGTCACTCTTCACTCATTTCCTCCGAATGCCACAAGCCGCTTAGTCTTTGGTCACTGCCCCCGTTAATAGTAATAATAGCATATTGGTTGATTTTAACTGGACATTTTACTGGACATTTAACAGGAGAGAGCGTGGAAACACCAGTCTGACATCCAGTTTATGTGCCATCAGGTGGACGGTTTGATTTAGTTCTAGGACGTGTTTGAGATCCCCCTAATCACTCTGCAGTAGATCGGGGAGGGGGGAGTGTCTTGTTTGGTGCTTGGAGAAACCTCATTCACCTGTTCTAAAGGGGTTCTCCAACCCCCATGTTGGTGCCTCGACAACGTAGCCTTCTCTCTGACCAGTATCTGGGACGACTGGACCACAGGGTGGAGGCTGGGGCCTCCCTGGGTCTGGGTCTGCACCCTGGAGCTGGTCCTGGAACAGCATCTCTCCTACAAAAGAGCCTTGCTAGGAACTAGACTACAGGCTTGAGGGGTCCAAGACCACAAGCTCATCTCAGACCCCAGTAGGGCCCACCGGCTGACTCCCACGTCAGATCGGCTGAGCTCCAGCACATTGCTCCGAGTTGTCATTTGGAGAGAACCTTAAAAACAGAGGTTTGGTCGGGAGAGGCCTCTTAGCCATGAATTGGGGGGTCAACATTGAGCCCCTTTACTCTCAGATTTGAGACCCACTCGAAAACCTGCAGAGATAAGCCACTTAACTCCTCTGTCTGTCCCAAGCAGCGTATCATCATATGCCTTTCACTCTGTTCAAAAAGCAGTGGCTTCATCAGCAAATCCTCTTCTGTTCAGGCTAAATTTATTTTTATGTGAAATCGAAATCAGGAAAACACCAAAATTATTTTAAGCAAAATATCAAAATTGAAATAAACCAACATATGTCTGTGAAACATGTATAACTCTCAATCAAGCGTAAGTGCAACTTTCATAAATTTCTTAAAATACTCCAGCACGCAAAATGTGGACGACTTCAATAGATGGAGTTATGACATGTGTGATTATCCTTTCTCCTCAGTTCATCCTTCACTTAAAGATGAAACCTCAGATAGCCAGAGCCTGGCCAGCCCTGGGTCATCCCTTCCTAAACAATGTACCCCGCGCTCCATCATCTCTCACGATAAGTGAGAGAACCGAGGAATTTTAGAAAATGTCTTCTGGTAAGGTTAATGAATACCTGCTGGTTTTGAATGGAAACCCTCTTAAAGTTACCTTCTTTACTCCTATTCTGTCCTTCCCCCCATCGTCCCATGTTCCTCTCCAAGAAATGAGGTTTCTGGATCGCTTGAAACCTACTAGGCTTTGTTCTGTTACCTTTTCCATATTTCTACGTTTCCTTTGCAGCGGGGACTCAAATGGGATTCAGATTGTCAAAGCGGCATCAGCATTCTAGGGCTTGGCAGTGAAGAGCGAGTCCGAGGGGGTGTGCCCACCTCACACTTATGCTTCGTTTACAGGCTTTCTCTTACACGTTCTCTTTACTAGATGGCCACTTCAGGACTGGACTCACTGTGAGCCTCTTACACAGCAGCTGTTACTTTACCCACAGAAGACATGAAATAAATAGTACCATCAATAAATATTATTGACAAGCCAGTAAAGCATTTCTTGAAATCCTCAGCCCTTCACTTTCAATTCCTCTCTTCATGAACTAGGTAACAACATTTCTTAGAAAAACAAAAACAAGCAAAACGATCACTCTTTGGAAAACGTTCCCAGCACTGAAATGAATTGTGTTCCAGTTCTGCTTTTAAAAGCATGCTAAAAAGACTCCATCTCATTAGGCTTGGCGTCACAGTGGACGTTAACGGAGTCATTCTTTGGGGGGAGTCGAAAAACTCCTTAAGATTGTTCGTAGAGCTACGATCGTAACGATTCCACGGAAACAGGCCATTTTCATCTTGGACTGTGGGATCTGCTGCTCACCTTTATTCTCATACATCACTTTGATTTTTTGTTGTCGTTGTTAGTTTATTAGTTGTCAGAAGTTTCTTCCTTCCTGGTTCCTTCCATTTAGACCAATTTGGAAATGGAAAAGTGTGTTAATTTTTTCATAAATCTTTAAGACACGCATTACTGTATTTTTATTAACTGAGCCAGATGGTTCACAGCAAATTTTCTCTGACATAAGTAATCACAGAAATCAGGTTGGGACCCAGATCTGGTGTGGAAAGTGGCATGTATATTAGTGGAAAAATGCAGTTCACATAAATATGTGGATATTTATAGAATATTTGTTACTGTTTGGATTTCATTTTATTTTATTATTTTTGTGTTTTGGTTTCGGCTAAATACACACTAAGGACCTGTTT